GTATCAACCATCAAAAGTATGAAGACGGGATTAGGCAGGCCCGGTGACCCGCTATTAGAAATTGAAGAGGTTACAGGTTACACCCCCTTGGCTGGGCTGGCGTATTGATAGCAGCCTCTCTGTATCTTATCCATCCTCGCATAAATTGGTGTGGAAAGGAAAGATTGATTGCTCCAACACCCAGGCCCAGCACAAGCAATTACTTCATACTTCATACTTGTCAGTGCGCAAGGGTTACGAAATAAGAGAGGCTCTTCTGGGAAGGAGACAAGAGTTTGAGATACGGGAGTTGATAGTAACAATCCAACAACCAACCTCAAATGAAGCAAACAAGGCCAAAGCAAGGAGAGACGAGGCGTACCGAGGCGAGATGAGAAACGCAGGGCAGGCATTTCAAAGAAGGAATTCCCCAGCCTATTTCGGCGACATTTCCTCTTTCCCCTCCCCTTGTGAATGTTGCTTGTTTGGGTGCGAGCGCAGTTTGCGTTAAGGGTTTAGGTGACAAGGGTGTGTGGACGCCAGACAAGGGTGTGTCTGTATTCCTCGGGAACGGGGTCAGAGAGAACGCGAAGGGCCTGAACAGAACGAAGCGAACGTCCAAGCAGAGACCGGCTCCAAAGAAATTCCTAAATGCTTCTAACCGTACTAACCAGTGGCATCGCTCCCCATTCCCACCGAAGAAGGCAATCCCAAAATGGACACCTAGGCGAAGTCCAAGGTGATCCCTTCACGACTCGCGATTGGGGGCTCTCTTTCGCCTTCACAAGGGAGGCAGGGCAAAGTTCAGTTTGCTCATTCGCTGCCGAGACTCAAACAATCACAGGACCGAGAATTTCGATCCTCCTACTTCGTATCTCCCTTTGGATTTCACGAAGGAGAACCGCGACATTCCTCGTGGGAGGAACAAGAGGGCGTGAAATGCGCCGAAAACGACCCTTCGTCCGGATTCCTCGGTATGTTGGAAAATACGCCGAAACGTAAATTCCCTGACATTTTTATCGCGCTTTTTTGCTTGTTCGATTCATTGGTTTGGGAAAAGACGGGATTGGAATGTTGGCGAAACAGAGTCGTAGTATTGAAGTCTTACACCTTACTTGTTACTCACCCTCCATCATTGATCACCAACTTGCAAGTTTATCGATAATAAAAAGCAAAATCGCGATGATAAGTCGTTCGTATACGAATGAGACAATCCGGATTACAACGTCCTCCATTCATGATCGTAGAGACATCTCGACGTGACGAATTTCTTTTTCTCGTTTCTCGTTTCTTTTTCCTCTTTGCTTCTCTTCCGCCATCCCCGCGAAGCCAAAAAAAAGAAAACAGTACTTCGTAGATACGCGTTGACATACGTCACTCATGAGACAAACTCCCCAAGGCTCTGCCCCATCAAGACGTTATCTTCGCCCACGACTCGCTTTCGCCCTGCAGGCTCCCGTTTAACCTTCTAATAACGGCAATCAGGATATAATCCCCCCAACGCAGGCTGCACATCCACACGCACTTCTCGTTTCCTTTCGCCCAACCAACGTTCTTCTGGGGGCGAAGAATTTACACAACGTTGTAGTCGAGGGTCGTCGGGCTGAGCCTTGTCGGTACTGCAAGGGAGCAAACTTGCAAATTATACGAGACACGAACAATCATAGTATCGATGATATCTTGCTTACAGTAACTCGAGCACAACCTTTTAGATGACGGATTCCCCTTTCCCACACCCGATGGCGCCCGCTACTACATTCCAACAGGAAAAAGGGCATCGTGAACGTCATCAGAAAACAAATCATCGCGGATACCTCCGGATGGAAACATTTCTCGGTCCGCGACACCCACCCATCTCGAGAGCAACGAGTGTGAGTTTTTTGTTTGGCCGCGTACGAGACACCCTTCCAGTGTAAGGGTGTAAGCCGGTGTGAGACCAGGGTAAGCCTCAAGGCTATCTCGTCGGGTCGGCTTCTCGTGCGAAAGGCATCTTCGGCACAATGCCGACACGAGGCCAAGACTCTTCAATACTCTTCGTCATCACCAAAAAAAGGCTTGTTTTATTGTTGTTGCAAAGTACCGCGGTCCTGAGAAATAACCCGGAGATTGCGGCCTTTTTGCTTGTACTATACTAAATGTCTTGGCTCCAGCATCTTAAAGCGTTTGCATCGCGGAGATTCGTTCCCTCGGCTTAGCGGGTGTGGGAGCGTAGCCTGCGCTTCTTTTCCCCAAGGGAAACTTATCCGCCTCCCGACTTTCCCCATATTTTTCATCGGTGTCTCTTTTTCTTCCTTTTCTGTTCTAGTATTTTTCTATCGGCGTTGCGGCCGTTTCTCGGTGGACACGGTGAAGTGGGTCACTCAGCAAGGGGACAAAGTTAAAGAGAGAAGAAGAAATAAAAGAAAAGACGCATTCCATGATACTGGAATTCGCGGCGGAAAACATTTTATCGCAAATACGAGTTTGAACCCAAGGGCGAACGGGAACAGGTTTCATGCGCCCAACCATAGCCGTCCCGCGAAGCACCGAGTTTCTTTCTATGAGTCACTTTGCGTTGCAACGTGCCTTATTTGCTGGAAGCGTGTACGCAAGTCATGTATTCTTGCACTGCCATGTTTTGCCGAGAGATGTGTGATATCGTAACGCCGAAGATTACAAATGCGATCTAAGAAAAAGAAAGAGTGTACGAAGTAGGGCAGCTTATTTCTTTTTTTGTCTTGCTTCGCACTGATTGCTGTCGAGCGTAAACTACATCAAGTCCTTGGGCAACGAGGTTGTAGCCCTCCGTCTTATTTGATGAGCGGACTTGGCCGGGCGTGTTCAAGGGCGAGTGCCGCTCCCTTTGCTTCTTCGAGAAGGTTCAGAGGTCCGAGTTCTCGGTGGATTGTTACATGGAGTTGACGCATTTACCATGATGGAATCTCTTTCGGCCGCAAAGGGAAGGAATGATATTGTGAGTATCAAGAAATATCCAAGTGCCTTCTCATAACAGCTACATCCCAAGACTTCGAAACCTACCCTTGAATGGATCCCGCTGCACTCGGCATTCACCGTGATTTGGTTGACCGAGCTGTGGAGTATGAAGTATTATTAGATATTATGGATAAGATCACAGACCAATGCAGCTACAAGGTGAAATTCATGTCTCACGTACTATATCCCTGTTGGACGCTGCCAAATACTTCATAAATGCATGGCTTATCTTGCTGACCTCAATGATCCAGGTTGTCTCGTCATTGTTGCCTCCCCCACATGCAACTCCGACAGCGGGAGCTCCTTCCAAACTCGGCATCACTAGAATGTCACAATGTGTGATATCAATGCCCAAGCAATTGACATGCCGCCTACCAAAACCGGGCTTCCCCTCCAGTGATTTCCCTATTACCTATCGGACATCAACAACGGCTCATCCCAGCAGTTCAGCTTCCCAGGCATTCCCAGACAGCCAGCATCATGCCTCATCCTGTATCGAGAAAGAAAAAGCACTCCCTCCAAGATCGTTAGTTAGGACAGTTGCTCTCAACGGCAGCCTCCACATTTTATCCCACAAGTGGCGACTTCATTTCCCCGCAGGGGCTTCCCCCAGAGCGGCTCCGACAGGCAAAGACAACGGCGGCTCCGCTCTTCGAGTCCCAAAGCTTGGAGCAGAGCCCTCTTTGCGGAGCTCCTTTTCTCCATTCTTTGCCGTCGCCTAGACGAAGCTATGCATGTGATTTCGCCTGTTGATAAACTACTTCGTACGGTGCGGGTTTTACGAAGAAGACGAGAATGCTCTAAAGCGAGAAATCGCCGAGGCTATCATGTTAGTTGAAGATCTGCACGCTCAGCTGTTGTTCCCGCCTCGACTCTACGTAGGCTCTAGGCTGGTTCAGGTGAGGATTCGAGCTGTACGCAAAGACGATCCATCACTTATCTTGTCTGATCGATAATGTCTTGAAAACCACAACATTGGACACTTCGTAAAATAGCGGCATTGCAGGGAAAAAGCAATCGGACTCCACATCAGTAACAAAAGATCTGGTCGTAATTTCACACCCCTCGATAAATTCGCGATCTTATCGATAGCACAGCGGTCTCAGACTCGGTCCTCCTTTCCCACCGTCTGCACGGTTCCCACAAACGCAGCAGAGCGGTCGGTTAGCTTCAAAGTGTTGCATATCGCCACCTGTCCCGTATACCTTTTACCCGCACGCCCTACCACACAATACCATTCATGTTTCTTCCTTTTTGTTTCGTTTGATCCATCGTAGGGCCAGACCAGGCTAGGGTTATCGGCTGCATGCACTACCCTCCCCACCTTCACACGCACACATGCAACGACTCGTTTGCTTTACGATTTCGGGTTGGTGATAGGGTCGCTCAGTCTATGTTTGGACCGCCCCCAAAAGTCGGTGGGAGAGATGTTGGAGGGGGAGTATACATGAAACTACGGAGACAGCTCATCTCTTTTTTTTTTTTCTTTTCTTTCCTCTGCTATAAGAGTAAAGATATGTTAGATATTTCAGCTCCGGCGGTCTGCTTTAATTCCCCTTCGGGCTCGTATTGTATGTCCCACATGGCAGATATCTGCGACTTCAATGTATGAAGCAGCAAGCCGACAAGCAAGTAGCCGTGCCCACAGGAGACTGAACATTGAAATGTCGGGAAAGCAGCCCTTGCATATTAATCCAGCGGACCGTGGGAATGCGCTGAGATCTTCGGAAGGCTGTTGTCTCGATTTGAGCGGTGTCCCATCGGAAGTCAGACGGGGGTACATCTCCTCTCCGCTGGTCCGGAATAACAAGAACAAAGTGAAATTGAGACCGTCAATTCGATGGGCACGCTACGCCTCTGACAATTTGGAGTATCGCACTTTAGTGCCAGCTAAGATTTACCCCGGAATCTTTGACTTTTTTCGCCCCGACACTAGAAGGCCTGTTGGTGTTTCCATTTTCCACTGTGCCCCACCGGGCTGAAATCCATAGTGTGCAATTGCTCCAACGGTGAGAATACTTGGAGATTTGATCTCATCTTCCTATTCATCAATTCACTCCCCCCACAAACCATTTGGCCAGATTCTGCAAAGAATCCACCCTAGTAACAGCGTGTTCTCTAAACATATCATCAAGTGTCCGACCAGGATAATCCTCCAGTCGAGGTACGTTACCAGGGGCTTGCTCGGTAGTCCCGAAGAGCACCGGGTTCCAGCCCGCATTTACTGCTCCAACGACATCCTTGGCATAATCGTCTCCTACGTACACTTTCCGCCACGTCTCATCAACATCTGCCTCGTTGGCATCAATGTGGCTTTTGCCGTCTCGAAGGCTAAGAACTCGCGCCAACATGCGCTCGGCAGCTGTAAAGATGAGTTTGTCCGGCTTCTCGACGCCAACGTCGTAGGACATGCAGTGGAAATCGATATCATAGTGACGCGAGGCGAGTGTGCTTGGTGGCTCTTTCACCTCCATGCCGTATCGGAGAGGGCTGACGTTGAGGCCGAAGGATGAGAGGACACTTGGGACGCGATCATCGGAATTTGTGATTACGCCGATAACTATGTTGTCAAAGCGCCGCTGGCTCCTTAATGCCTTGAGTGAAGATGTTAGATTCGGCTCGGCTTCGTAGCCTTCGTGAGATGAGAACCGGTGTAGAAGCCTAGGCGCAAGATCCTTGGGTAGAACTTGATCTTTCTTGATCAAGGGTGTGAATGTTTTGTGAATAACCTGAAATAAACAGTCGTTAACCATGGATTGTTACCAGGCTACAATGTTTATAAAGGCTGTGACGACTCAGCGCCTTGCCTGTTAAGAGGAACACACATTTGTCCACCATCTAGTCGCTCCAAGGCCAGTGGACTTTCCATAGTTGGGATTCAGCCTTGCCTCCTCCTTGATCGCAGCCAGTAGGGACGACTGCAGCTCATCGTCACTGAAGCCGGTGATACCACAGAGTCGGGCTATTTCGGCATACTGTAGGGCGGGTGAGCGTCTTGGTCTGAACAAGGTTCCAAACGCATCGAAACACAGCAGGAGGTTGGGTCTCGTCATGCTTGGCCTTGAAAGGGCTCTATGAATAGTTGGAGAAAATATTGACAAAATTTACTGGACTGAAATATCCCGCATTGCTGTCGTGAGAGCCCTGGGATCCGATGACAGCCGGCTCCGAGTGCTACCAACGAATTCCTGCACTACAAAGCCTTAACGGTTACGAAGTACTTCCCGCTGTCGGGCTTCGGGGAAATGAATACCCGTCGAAGCTTTGTGTCTTTTCGGGCAGTGTGAATATTTATCAATGTCCGGAAAGCAGGAGACGCCATCCGAGACAATTGCAGCGTCGAGCTCGATCGCAAACGCCCAATTTAGATCTTCCACCCGAACTCGACAGCGACATTGTCCAAACTCGATCGCAAAATACAACCCCATCAAAGCCATCAAAGCACACAAAAGAAAACAAACCTCAAACAAACAACGCAAAAGAAAACAACTAATATTTCCTGCACGCAGAGACCTTCTGCATCCGTTGACCGCCCTTTTTTAGGTGCCTCACCTTCTTATTCCGGTCTGTTTGGGCTAGCAAATAACTTCACAATAATGCATGCAATGCACATCTCTTACTTTCCCGCCTTTCCCGCTGGGCGTCCGTGCATGTCTGTGAGAGTTTTTTGTTGTTTGGTGGGCTTTTCGATTGTTGACTACGAAGTATACTGCTTTGCTCCAATGGAAACAGATTCTGCAACACCCTCTTCCCGATCCCGATGCAGTGCCGTATGCACGTTCGGGTCGTCGGTATGCAGGCGCATTTTGCGGTGAAGAGAACAAGGGGGGGAACACACAAACGCGAAGATCTGGAATTTCTGCCAATTGTCTGATTTTAATTTTTTTTACGAGCCATGTCGTACAAGACGCAAACCCGATAAGTCTACGGATAGAGTAAGTATTGGGCGATCCTCCAGATTGATTTCTTGTTCGGATCCGCATGCTTCTTGGTCGTTTGAAGCCCTCGATGAAGTTGAGTTGATGGCTCTTGGTTTGTCTCATATTATCATCCAGTTTTGGCGGAGATGAGAGACAACCCGAAGATCTTTGGACACACCACCCAGGACACACACCCCTCCCCCCGGTCCGGGTCGTCGTCCCCGGAGCCACCCTGCCGTTACGAACCACACCAACGCCCAGCTAAATGTTGCTTTTTTGTGTGTTTCTTTTCTTTTTCACGCCTTGTCTTCGACCCCACTCGCTCCAAACGCGTCGATCCACGGTCGTTGAAACCCCCCAAAAGCCCTTCTCCATCAGGCCCAACCACAACTACGACCACGCAGACAGGGAGTGCTCCGTTGATGATTTCCCGTTGCTGGATGTGAGATGTGAGTTACCGTCTCGGTGGAATTATAGTGGTACTACCATAATGGCTAGGCCCAGGCTTCATTCTGCGACTTTACCAAGTATCAGTGGATTCAATTAATTCTTTTGATTATTACTTCGGACCCTAAGTTTACGAGGTATCGTACTAGGATCATCGGTTTTTCGGGATCGTCCTAAAAAGAAAAAACTTGGGGTAAAAGAGCCCCAAATTCGAACGGCTCCAATTCCCCACCAATAATTACGAGGACCATCTTTCGCACTCGCTCATCAAACACGGGCAAAGGGGTAAAAAGGAAAGGAAGAAATGAATTCCATCGCATCTTCTTCGTTCCTTCTTCCATCCAATGTTCCACGAACGGGAAGACGGGATCTCGGATAGAGTGTATTGTTAGACCTCTCATCTTAACCCCCCTTCATTGTTCCCAACGCCATCAGTCATTGATCTGTAACCTCCTGCGATGAATAAGCCAGGAGAAGGAAATAAACAATTGAAACAAAGCTGTGGGCTGGGCTAGCTGCATCTCAGCAATGCCTCGGATAAGAACCCGTCGGTGCGACAGGAGGGGCAGCCAAAAACTGCAAGCACTCAGCACTCTCTGCATCCTCCCGGCAAGCCGCTAACACGCTCAGCTTCACCTTTTGTGCAGCGGGTGTCCAGGGGCTCTGCTCCCGTTACGAGGCTAAACCAACAGCGGTGTCGCCTCGTTCAGGCGACGGAAACGTGCATCGAAAATTCCCAAACAAAGCCAAAGGATCCGTTGGCGTCGACGGGACAGTCTTCCGGCGCAGCTCTTTGCACTATTTCGGAACCCTCAGGGATTTTCCTTCGGGGAAGAGGAGTCTGTCCCAAGTTGACGGGTCAAAGAGGCAAGGTCCCATACATTGCACTAGTTTAGAATGAAAGAGGATTCTTTTTGTGAGATTTGATACTTTTTTTTTTTTTCTTGGGATCCCTTTTTCTTTTGGCCCCAGGCCTGAGGGCCGAATATCCTGCCGTAGTTTTACAAGGGGAGGGTGTAAAATTACTCGGTAACCTCTGGGAGGGAGGAAAGTTATGAAAGAAGAATAGTCTGGTCGGCCGGGCGTTGCCGTTGGTAAAGAAAGACGGGGGTGAGGACCGAGCGGACGGGACAGGACCCAGAGAAGGAAAGAAGAAAGAACAATCCTCATCTTCGGTTGGGTCGAGGGGACGCTTCCCCGGCGGCTTGGTGTCCACTTTTGGTCGCCTCGGTCATTTCTTGGGAAGAGTTACAGCACGAAGTAGGATGGATCCCTTGTACGTACTCCATAGGTTACAAGGGCAAGGGAGGGTGTGTGGTTTCGGTTAATGAGAGGAGGACCTGGCTAGCCCAAGCCTGAAATGAAGCAAATGGGTGTGTGTGGTGGGTGCACGCAGATTTCCCCTAGAGGAAGTTCTTTGGGAGCTTCCAGAACCGAGGGTGAGTACCGGGCAACAGCCAGCACGTCGGCGAGGTTGGGCTTTGGGCCTGGCGGGCCCCCTGCCTGAAGAGACAGACGGCGGTGTCAGAGAAGGAACGCAAGGACCCGAGAATCTGTTCAATTTCGTCTGATGATTGGGGCTCAAACAGATTTCAAAGGGGGGTAAAAAAAGAGAGCTGATCTCCTTTGCCTACGCGTATGCGAATATCCGGATATATGTGTACACTACATCCAAGCGAACACGGGAAACCTGCCGGCAGTTTGGAAGGGAAAGACGGGAACGAACATCAGAGGAGGCCCCCCGGAAAGAGAAACACAATGCTGTCTTCTTCGTTTTCGTCCCAAGTTGCGTCCGTTCGCAGACTTCCCGTGGGAGTATCAAACGAGGTCTGTCTGCCTTCAATAGGGAAAGGGCACGGGGATTCGCGAACATCAAATCGGGCAATCGAACGAACCTGTTCCTCTTTTTTTCTTTGGCTTCGATGTTCCCCTTTGGGACAAGAACTCTTCCAGTTCGGGCATTCGCGGGCGATCCTCTGGAAAAATAAAATACCAAGATAAAATAAAATCAAATAATAAAATAGGTGGATTGATTACTTCGTACTTCGCAAATGAAAAACCTCGTGGCATTCTCCAGATCTGCAGTTTTGGTTGCCACCATCCTACGACACGACGATCCCTTGATCACCAAATGAAATGGAGATTGGTCTCGGTCTACCTCGGTAGCGGGTGGAGCCGCTGGCCCGGTTCGGTCAGGCACGAAGAAAGACCAAGAGTACAAAGTCCCCCGGCAGGACACGGCGCTCCGCTCCGGCGGATGATCCCCCAAGATTGCATTAGAGTGTACTCGTATAGTGTACAGTTCTCTCTCGTGGGTATTATTAGGGATTATCCTCCCTCCTCCCTAATCTTTCTTAGTGCTACACACTCCGGAGAAGTCCGTGATGGAGATTGATGCATTCAATACCCCCTGCTCTGCCCTGGACAACCTCGTAAAATACTGTCCAAGCTTCCGCGAAGTCCCACACTCTTTGGCTCCCAGCAACAAAGTCCCAAGCATTCCCAGCAACCTGGTAAGAAAATAAAATAGGGGACTATCTGAAATATTACTAGTAACTTTCCCACGAGAAAGGAACGCGAGATCGCGATGGTCGGGTTCGTCTTTGTCCCAAATGCGACGCTAACTAAATTAATACCTGTAAAATGCTCAATCCTCCACGAAGACCCAAGTCCGGCGACGGGGATGTGGCATCCGCGGAGGGAGCGTTAGTCCCAGAGAGGCAGCAAAACTGCACGAGCCCCAGTCAGCCGGATGGATGGGTCCCTGTCTTCCGGAGGCGTGGTGGGTGTGGGTTGGTAACCACTTTCACCAACGATGCTACCACACACCTTCCATTCCCCTTTGATCGTAGCAAGCAAAGCTTCAATGTTCCCTTCTCATACCTTGTAACAATATAACTGTGTCCACTATGAGGACCCATCCACGCCCTCCCTGGCCGACTAAAGACTTCCCCGTAATGGCATCTCGGTCGAGGATTGGGTAGGCGAAAAAAGAACAAGGTCCCAGCAGGACCGAGGATGTGGTTTCTGGGTAATTAGCGTGTTATGTTGGCTGGCCAGACCTGTCAGGGGGATCAGGAATCCTGATTGAGGGGAAGCGTGGGATATTTTCGGGGTGTATCTCAGGAGACTCGCCCAAGCGACTCAGGGACGAAGACTTACCCTGCCTCGGTGGATAGGGGAGACGAGGTGCAGATGCGTCCACCTCTTCATATGCTTGTTCAACACCCTCGCCCATCCATGCCGTCTGTGCCCTCGCGCTGAGTGGTGGTTCCCTCCGGCTGGTAACTACGGGAAATGTTAGCGGCTTCGTTTGCTTGCTCCAGGAAGATGGGGCAAACAAGCTGAAGCAAACTGGCGGGTATCGAGGAAGCAGTATCCGAGCTGAGCGAAAACAGCAATATTGGTGTTTGCTCACTTTCCCTCGTCTTCCCACTTTGCAGAGCGATGCACAGCGATGAATGTAAACGTCTTACAGAGATGTTATGTTTGCGACTTCTGTACTACCTCGTTCGCATTGATTTCTCTCCCACACGCAAACACTCCTTTTCCCTCTCCACCCCACGTCTTGATATAATTAAAACGACCCAACCCCCATGAATGAACCAAAGTGTAGTATCCGACCTGGCGGATACTGTCCGGTATGCTAGGCCAGGCCCGACACCGGTTCTCTGCAACTTCGCTAGATTTAATGACCCTTGCTTGCTCTCTCTCCTCTATCCCACATCCCCCTCTCAGCCACCAAACAGGGGAGACGAGCGATCACTGCAAAGGAGAGCTTCAGGGATTCTTCCCCGGTGGTGGCAGACAAACAATTTGCACAACGGGGGTGATTCGATGTGATGGGGGGAGCACACACACACCACAACCAACCAGGAAGCTCTCATCCCCCCGTGGCTCGTCACCTTCACACGAAGTCTGCCCCCATGCCTACCCCCATGCCAAACGCTCTGATGAGAGAACAGTGAGAACGCATCATATGACTTAGGTGGGGGGATCACCATCCTCTGTGCTTCCCCCCCATCCTGGGGTAGGTAACAGAAGAAGCGATGCCACAAACAGTTTGCTCTCGAAATATTACTCTAGTGTAATTCAATACTGTCGGAGTGGGGGATCTTCAAGGAAACCCCAGTTTCTCTCTTCTGAGGTATCCCCTCCACCCCCGTTCCCATGGCCAAAACGGGGCTCGCGTGATTGATTGGAGAGTTGACGAGTCACTCTCAGCACTCAGCTCGGTGAGGCTATCTATAACTCTTTCATTTGCTTCAGTCCCCTTTCATCTCGCAGAAACGTGGGAGGAGTTGAGGGCTTCCATTCCAGGTCAGCGACCCCGCCAACCGCTTCCTTTGCCTCCCCCACGCGTCGGATAATTGTCTCAGTGACAGGTTACAGCACGCCTTGCATTGTGAATGAAGAATCGAGCTGGTCTCCCACTTGGATTAATAAAATAACCCTCCATTTGGAAAGGGAAGGAGGAAAGGTGGTGTGGTGGTGTAAAGACGGGAGGGTATTGCGAAGCAGCTATTGATAACCTCACATCCCGATTGTTTTCTACGCAGGTAGATCGCACTCGTTAAATGTTCCATGCTCGCGTCGCGAGCACACGTAGTCTAATACACGCAGAGGATTCGTCTTATTTTCGTCCAACGCTCGCAAAAGAGCCTCTGGTCTATTACTTCGTATTCCCCCGAGGCGCTACACCAGGCATCTGCTTGTACGTCTGCGTCGTGCGGTGTCGGTGATGATGGTGGTGATTGGGGAGATAGAGTGATGGTGATGGGCCATCACACATATTCGATTGGATCATCACGTCCAAGTCCTGCATCAGATTGACGCGTCCCCCGCGCCCCCTTATTTCAGACATAAGAAATTACCAGAGAGCAGGATGTTGTCACCTCTCATCACTGCTGAATGACGAAGAAAACTATCACCACTAGCGTCTGATTATTCGCAGACCGAACACTGCGGCTGTAATCGTTGAGAGCCGTTATCGCCAGTTAAGGGCGCCTGGGTTCATCACCACCTGGATCACACGCCCGAGATAGGTGAGATGGGCTGGCCTGTGGTGTTGCGCCGTTGACCGTTGAGGCGGACCATACGAAAGTATTGGCGGGGAAAGTGTGGCTGTGGCTGGCGCCTAGCGACGTATTATGGTGATTCCCATTTGATGCCTTTATCACGATGGACTCTCTTCCTCTTCTATTGATCTCCTTTACTTCGTATCTCTTCCAACTTCAATAGATAGAGAGCTCCTGGAGACGGCCTGGCCGGACAACGCTGATGTTCTGAGTCATAGAAAGGAGAGAGGGGTGTGTCTACAAGAAGCTATTTACATTGTATGAAGTTGACAATTTCCGTAGGTATCTCGACTCTTTTTTTTGGTGTGGATGAAGCCGGTCCAAGTATGTATTAATGCCTGATTGAATCTGCTGCTCCCACACTTGACACGAGGACGCTCAACCCACCACACCTCGTGCTCCTTCACCCATCACCCATCATCCATATACAATCCTCTGCCACTTCATCACATTTAATCGCACTCCACCTCCCAAACCTCCATAGTTTTCAAATCACCGAAGCTAACAATTCATCAACTCGTCCATCCTCATCTACACGTGTAACTACATCCAGAAACCCCTCCCCCGCATCAATAGATCAACCCATCAAACACCAAGAATCCCTCACCGCTTCCGGTTCGACCACTGACATCAAAACACAGTCCTTTCCACCAGACAGCGTGTGTATCCCTCAAACACTTACCTGAAATGGCTTACATGGGCGCGAATCTGTACGCCTGCCTGTGCGTTTCACTAGAATTTGATATTCTTAACCCACTCTCCTGACCGCCCGAGTCCACGCGTAAACCATGTTTCCGTGTCGACCGCAGAATTGAGAAGTTGAGTCGTGGCATTACTCGAGGGCACACCAGGTAGTATGTTTCTCAATATCGAATGTGCGCTCCTCACAACTTCCTATCCGCCCAGGAGAGCCTGACAACACATCGATACACGCCCAAGGCCGCGGCCCACACACACTTCTCTCACTTACCACGTCAACAGCCTGCTTCTAGCTCAGTTCTAGACCACAAGACAATGCGAGGAATAAGCTATTCCTACCCCCTCCTCGCGGTGCCTCATCCATCCCACCAAAAAAAAGGGTCTTGATATCCTGAATGTACCCTTTAATCGCTTCTGACGCACTGCGCCCCTCCACCTCATACACCGCCCGTAAGGGAACACAGGGCTCTTCTCTCCGCTAGATGTAAGGACATCGTCAAAAAAGAAGATCCAAAAAGAAAACATACAACATCAGGGATTCGCTGGTCGTCACCGACCCAACTACTAGTCTGACGCTTCGCAGCTTGTGTTCAGGGGAGCGGACGGGACCCTCAATTTTCTGCGAGCTATGGTCGTATGTATCAGCATCGGAAGATAGAATCGCTTATAAGAGGAGGTGTAAAAGATAGGATAGAAAGAGATCAAAAAGAATCACCGAACCAACGACGGGACCGCGTGTTTTCCCATGAATCTGGCACTTTGGTGAAAAGGGTGCCGAAGATGGAAGCTTGTGAGCCCAGAAAATGGGATATAACGCCCAGAGAAAGGGATGCTCGCCTTTCCGGCAACAGCGGCTAGAGATAGACCAAGCATTGATCTCGGCCTTGAACAAATCCAGATAACAGAGTTGTCCTTGACGTCGGATCTGGGCGGACACTCGGCACGGTCGGGCTGTTACTAAGACCAAACTTTGGCACCAAAACTCTCCAAAAATCGGTTATACTCGAGAGCCACACCCAGCTCCAGTACAAGGGCGTGTTCTTGCTCCTGGGGGTCTCGGGGGCATCCAGAACCGAGTGTCGGGAGAAGAGTCTTCACCGGCGAGCACGAGATCAATGATCTCGCAGACACCGGGTCCCGCTCAGCTCGCCCCGGATCGCCGCCCACAACCTCGACGTACGCTACGAACCTTTGAGCCGTGGCCGGGCCCCTGCCTCATGGCCTCTCTTACCAGTAAGTTATCTATCTTAGCCTACAAACTAGCTACTATATAGCGGCGACACGACCGACTATGCTACCGTCAAGAGGTATATATATGTATCAGGGTAAGGGCTAATTTCAAGCCCGCCAAGTCCGTAAGTTGAATGATAGTTAAAGGTAGAGCAACACAACTAGAGTACAATAACGACCTATCTTGTCATGGTAAATGGGCGAGTCAACTACCCTCATATAAACACCGACACACCACCAGGCTTCCAAAGCGCCATAATGAGGCGGTGCATGCAATGCTGCCCGCCCAGCCCTGTAGGATAATTTGTGGTGGTTTCGCGGATCCAAACATACAAGTAATGGTCACGGTGCGTCTCAGCCTGCTCAATTTCCCCTCAGCTGCCCATCAAGCCTGAAGGGTCGAACTTAGCATAATGGAATCATCCACGCCCTTGCCAGATCCCACCCAAGCCGCCTTCAACAAAGCGATTCGGGAGTTCAAGGCTAACCTGAAGAACGAGGCCCTGTATAGCGAAATTCTGAGCACCACCTCCGCCGACCAGGTGTATGATCTCACAGACAAGCTACAGAACGAGCAGGGCAGGGGAGGTCACCTTCGCAACCTAGCGAAACTCAAACCTTACCTCGAGCGCTTGCAAGGCTATTCCGGAGCCATCGACACGTTCGTCCAGGCAAAGGCCGAAGTTCTTGCGCTAATATGGGGCCCTATTAAACTGCTCCTTCAATGGGCCAGTACCCTAACGAGCTCCCTCGACGCCTTAATCAACACAACCGCTGAGATTGGGCTTTTGCTACCCGAGTTTGGCCTCGCGGTAAAGCTATTTGGGCACAATAGCATGGTGAAAGATGTCTTGGCGCTATTCTTCCAGGATATCTTAGATTTCTACCTAGTTGCGCTCAAATTCTTTAGTATGCCGCGTAAGTTGTGTGAACTAGATCGAGGCGGCGATGACGCTCATATTGACCGGAGCCCAGGATTCAAATCTTTCTTTGAAGCCGTGTGGCCCAAGAAGAAGCAGCAAATCGATAGTGTCATCAACCGAATAGGGCGGCATACCACCATGCTCAGGAACGAAGTCCGCCTTGAACACATCCAGGAGGAGTACAACGCACGTGCTCGCGATATGGAGCATTTTGAGAACCTCGAGCGGTCAACCAGACGGACAGAGTATGGGGTGCTCGAAACTCGCGTGGCGCCCGTGTTCTACGATACGAAATTAAATCATCTGCGCGGGCGTCTCTGCGGAGGGACAGGGAGCTGGTTTCTCGATGACTCTCAGGTGCAGAAGTGGCTCAACGTTACCAAAGACTCACCGAAGGTTATTTGGCTCCGTGGAATACCTGGTGCGGGTAAGGAATACCAGTTTAGAGATATTATTGATGCTGGTGCTGATCAGTGGTCCACGAGCAGGCAAGACATTCCTCGCAGCGTGTGTTATTGATGAGACTCGCTCACGCACCTCCTTGGGCAGCCGGGTGATCTTCTCGTTTCTACATCACTCCCATAGAGATAAGACGTCGGCGCTTTCAGTCCTTCATTCGCTATTATTCCAACTTGCTCGAGACGATGGCGCTCTCCAGGATGTTTTGTGCGAAATCAGCCGCGAGACCCTTAGCTCTGATCCCACTGCCGCCACCGATATACTGATTAAGCTCCTCACTTGTTCCGGTCGCGTCCATATTATCATTGATGGCCTCGACGAAATTGATGAGATCGAACGGGCGAGATTGCTTCAGGAAATGCTTCGAGTCTCGGAGAGCTGCGAGGAGACGAGGATCCTTGTTAGTAGCAGAGCGGAGCATGACTTGGAGACCCTCTTAAAGCCCGTGTCGACTGAGATTCGAGTTGATACGCGCAACACGGACAGTATTCAAACCTACGTTTCAAACCGCTGTTTTGACTGGGTCCAGAATCGCCATTTCAGCCCAGAAGACAGAAAGGAGATCATGACACTTCTTTCTCCCATTGCAGGCCGGGCCAAAGGTAATTTATACTCTCGCAGACCCGTAGTAGGCACCGTTCCCTTTCAGTTGCCACTATGTTGACTAGTTAGCAAACAGGGATGTTTATGTATGCACAGCTCATCTTGAAGAGTCTAGAGTTTCTCGACACGATCGACGAGGTACGAGATGAGTTGAAGATTCTTCCAACAGATCTTGACGATGCGTAGGTTTCCATTTTTTCCCTCTCTCTCTCTCTCGCCCCCACTTATTCATATATACACATCCATATATATGTATATATTCACACCTAGTCTCTTGCTTCTTTCGTTTCTGGCTAACTTTTTCTTAGATACGGGAGAATTTTCTCACGCGTCAACGAAAGACTTCCTTCCGGTTCCGTGAGGGACAAGGCTCGTAGAATTCTCGGCTGGGTGGGCTGCTCAGCGGTGCCCATGACAGTCGAGGAACTCGAGCAAGCTCTTTCCATTCGCATTGGAGATTACAGCCAGATACCAAAGGGATACTCAACTTTAAACCTCGTTCGCCTGTGCGGTCCAGTAGTCGAGGTTGTTGACGGTGAGGTCCAATTTGTGCATTTTACAGCGAAGGAGTTAAGTTCTTGAAGTAAGAGTCCGTTCTATGATGTAAAATTAACTAGAAAGCCAGGTACTTCTTCAGCCACGAAGTCGCCCATTCACTCGACATCGGCCAGTATACTCTCAGCCTCGCAAAATGCTGCATCACGTATCTTTGCCAAGCACACCACGATCCCGACATCAATGAGGATCAACTCGAAACACACCTTATCAATGGTGTATACCGACTTCACCATTATGCCACGGGTTTCTGGCTTCGTTTGGTTGAACTCTACTCTCAGTCTAACAAGATCAACAAAGGCTCCCCAGAATGTTCACAACTCCTCGACGTTTTGCGCTGCGTATTGGAGAACAGAGTTAATGGCGACTATATTCCAATTGGTGATGGAATCGAATTCCCGAGCCTGAAGCCATTCAAGGACGTATCTCGAGAAGTTTACGACCTTCTCTGCAGCGAGGCACAATTTCACCAGAAATCTGAATCACGTCTGTTTCAACTAGGCGAGGGTGAGACTTCCACATCTTTTCAGAATGCCACCTAGAATCTATCTACTTTATTCGACGGAAGCCCAACAGAAACTAATACTCTCTGTCAGATAACTGGGAGACAGCGGACCCCTTGACGTTGCGGCGCATCTCGGCATCTATCCAAAATGCCCTCGACAAGACGGCCAATACGCCAGCCGAGCACGCACAGCACAAAAGGGACGCAGAGGACGCAGAGGACGCAGAGCAATGCCACTGCGACGCCATTCGACACAACTATGGGGCTCGGCCTTTCAAGTGCCCATTCATGAGCTGTTTATCCCATCGAATCGGCTTCGAGACGAAGAAACTTCGACAATCCCACTGCAAAAGTCATGACCGACCTTGGAGGTGCGATGTCCCGACCTGTGAATACGCTAAGATCGGGTTCCTGTCACGCCGGATGAGAGACGATCACCTCGATCGAAATCACAGGGCCGAAGACCCAGAACAATTGATCACGCGTGGCCAAAGAAGCAACGACGAGCTGGTCTCGCTCCTACTCGCTCTGATAAGAACCGACAAAGTGCACAACGTCCGATCCTTGCTTCCGGCTGCTCAAGACTTGAAGAATGATCAGATAATTGCTCTTTTTGCAGAAACTGCATCTCTTGGGTCGTCTGATATGATTGAAATAATTGGATCGCACTTTTGGGATAGGATGATTGACATACATGACTGGGAAGGCAATCCCTTCTGGGAGCAAGTTCTTATCCCAGCAGTAACAAGAGGCAATCTCGAAACAATCGGGTGGCTGACAACTAAAGCCGGATCATTGATTGAGCGGCGAACGGGTATGTATCACGTCAAGGACGTTTTCGTAGCAGTTTTGATGTCCGACAAGTCCGTTGCCTTGTACAATCACCTCGAGCTCTTTATGATTGCTGTTTACAGTAAAAAGCGCCTGGAGGACTCGAGGTTCGCCCGTAACTCGCTCCGGGCGATGGACCCCACTCTAATTTCAGCGACGCGGGGTCGGCCTCAAAGTGAGAGGATCTTGATCTCTCTCTGGAAAAAGCTCGACGACATGGGCTGTGTTCCTCGGAGATATTTTGGGACTGGTCTACTGTCGGTTGCCAAAACAACATGCTCCATAACCCTGGCTTCAGCGCTGATTGACCTTGGCGCGGACTTGGAATACCAGAATAATAGACCTCTTCGACGGGCAGCACGTAAGGACACCGAAGAAGCAGCGAGGTTTATGAGGTTTTTACTATATCGTGGTGCTAACCCTGAGAAAAATTGCAACAAGTATCGATCCACTCCAGCAGAAGGTGCGATCACGCGGGTCAAGATATCTGATGAAGTTGGGGCAAAGGGTATTTCTAAGTGGCTGAAAAAGTCTTGGGAAGATCTGGTGACAGAGGCGAGGGAAGCTAGAATGAATCACGACAAACCGCCAATCTCCGAGGACTAGTCTAGTGCCGAGGCCACACAAGTTTCTTTCATGATGGTATCCTATGATAAGGACCCGTTCAACTTCTATCATTGTGCGGTTTCCATGGTTAGCCCCATAGCGCAGATTCTGGACAACTTTGATTAGACTCACCTTCCATCTGTTCTGATCAACCTCTTCCTGAGAAATCGCTTTCGAGTCGATAGACTGCGATATGAGGCGTAACTTGTCCTTCTGTATCCATTGAACATACTAGCCGCTGTCAGAGCACCACTCAAAATATTCCGAAGTAGAACGCGGATAGAAGGATCAACCGCCCGCTGAGTTCGGGCCTGACTGGGACTTCACTTACAGTCTCGATGGAGCGGTTAACAATATACCTCGTCACTGAAACCTGTTGCGTCTGTCCTATCCGATGTATCCTACCGATGGCCTGTGATTCTGTCATGGGGTTCCACTGAGGCTCTAATATGTGGACGTGGCAGGCCGATATCAGATCAATCCTAGTCGCAATCACTTCGTCAGCTTCACGGCATAAATCTGGATCGATTTATCCACTTACCCTTCGCCAGCACTGCCCATACTAGCCAGCATTACCGTGCAATTCGGATCGGACTTAAACTGCTCCATGGCTGCCCTTCGCTGCTGCAGGGAAGCCTGCCCATCAATTCGTTGAATGCCTAGCCCAACGTCTTGGAGATCTTTCTGTACCAAGTCTAGCATTCTCGTCCAGCAACTGAAAACAAGGCTATGAAGCATCAGCCAAGACAGCAATCACACAGACATCGTATTATTTGCTTTCACTAACCTCTTCCGGGGTGGGGATGCCCCTGGACTTGGTTGCTGCTCCAAGATATTGTGTATCAAAGCTTGAACTTTTGCTGAACGGGATCCCTCCGATGCCGCAAGGATGTTCTTGCTCTCTCCGATTCGGTCAGAATCTCGGCAGGCGGAACATGCCACAGCCTCGTCTACCTCGCCTTCATCGGCCTCTTCAGCATCGAGTTGACACTTTCCACACATGTGGTGCCCACATGGTAGAACATGTCCCTCATCAGCGTCCCTTAAGCGTTTTCCGCAGCCGGCGCACTGGCGTTGCATTGCTTCCATCTCTTGCCAGTCAATAGAGGACAAATCCCTCTGTCTCCACGCCTCCAAGGCCTTCGCGGGTAACATTTGCTCTCCGTAGTTGCATATCATTCTCAAAAAGTTAATCAAGCTCAGGATGTTGTCGCCACCCTTGACTTTCCCAGCGGAGCCCTTCGCACTCCTGGCCTTTTTCTTGCCTTGACCAGAGGCAAGACTTGCTGTTTTGCGTTTGAAGAATGAGTACAGCGGTTCGTCATCCCCCAGCTCGATCCACTCAATCTTCGACTTTGGAGGAGGGAGCTGAAGAATGCCTGCATCGAGGCCGGAGATTGTACGTCGGAGACATGTCGCTCTGACCAAGTCCTGAAGGCGGCCCCAGCCGTACTGGTTCTTATTCTTCACGGGTTTGGCAATCAGCCGGTCAAATTCTCGCTTATCGGAGAGCTTGGGGACCTGGAGGAAGCTGAGGAGGGCGGCGTAATCGTCGAGGGAATTATGTATCGGGGTCCCGGTGAGGCACCAGCGGCAATGCGCGCATTTCGAAATCGAAAGGGCAGACTGATGCAATATGGAGCCTCGGGAGCGTATTCTATGGGCTAGGGAACCTAGGATAAGTACACGAGATCGGAAGTTCATCCTAGACATGGGGAGACGGGCCCCGTACCTTCGTCGAGTACAACGCGGTACCAGTGGTAAGAGTAGAGGGTCTTGGTTTCTGGATTCTTCGACGTCATGAAATCCTCTCGGTGTGTTTCGTATGTGGTCAACACCATATCGTACTTCAAGAGATCCGAGACGAGAATCCGTCTGGATGGGCCGTGATATGTAACCGTGGTAATCCAATGCGGGTTGATATGTCTGGATGGAGTCAAAACAAGTTCTTCCTTCGGAACTCGGGGATATCAATTACCTCTTGATCTGACTTTCCCATCCAATAATGGCTATGGCAGTCAGAACAGCGTTTCTGCTTATAGGGGAAAACACATACTTGATTTCGGAACCACTATCAAAGTCGTGGAGGACTGGATGTCGACTGTAAATTTGCCTGCGTCCCTTACGTCCAGATACCAGCAGATGAGAGCAAGCGTAGTAAGAGTTTTCCCTAGGCCCATTTCCTGAAATTATTAGACGTGCCCGAGTATTGCACTCATGTAGCACTTACATCGGCGAGCACGCCTCCTCGAAGGAGACGCGGCCTTTTCTCATACGTTCCGGTGATGATGTGGCGGTACCTACACCAAGTTAACGATCGAAGACTAGGCCACGTGCGAAATAACTAACCTCGGCTTGGAAGGGTCGGATGGTCCTTGCCATAGCGATGGGAACTTCGAGCCTTCAATAATACCACATTCCCTTTCACTCATCATTGCGAGTGCCTGAAGCTGGTGTCTGGAAGAAAAAAAAAAGATTTCAGTACCTGAAGCACCAGTCTTTGATGGATCAACCTACTCTCGCAACGTAGAATTCAGCCTTGGGCTTGCCGTCACCGATGCCAAAGTCCCAGCCCCGCTCGCACCATCGAATATTCTCCAGATCTTCCCTTGGCTCACTTCATCAAGCAGCCCGCCCCTACCAGAGGCGGACTGAGAGTCTGAGATGGAAAGCCCTTCAATTTTTGGCATTTCGGCGCCAGGTCGGAGGAGGAAATGCGGGTTGAAGTACGGTACCTCGGGGTCGTACTCATCAGCTGTTAGGTGTTGGAAGAAGAGTCCTGCATCGGAGAGGAGGTTGGCGATATCATCCTTGTCTTCCATCTTTCCGTATACTACGACTCTAGCCGTGACATCTGCCAACCTCCATTTAGAAGCTGTGGCACCTTTACGCTTGGGCACTTTTGTTTCTTTGCCATTATGAGATGGCTTGGAGCACAGCAGCATTGCGGTGAGCCTAACGGCGTAGCGGTCTAGGAGCTTCTTCAACGCGCGGGAGTCGATAATGCCGGCGAAGTGACCCGAGTCTTCGAAGCAGAGGCTCAAGATATCGCCTTCTGAGCGGATGGTGATCGGGCAGTCAGCAATTTTTCGATTATCTGTGGTTGAAAGGTTGGCTTCGACGATCACCTAGATGCATAGTTAGAACGTGAGGTACGATGAAGGCCGAATGGAGGGCAACCAGGGTTTGGCACTGAGACTTACAACGCCAAAACAGGTGTCATAGTCTACGATTTCGTCAACTTCATCACTAGCCTCAGATACCAATGGCAGTTGAGATTCAGAATCGTCTTTGGCCTTGACTGGTATCATGCACTCGATGTCAGGCTCCTCCTTTATTCCCACCTCGGGTGATGGGTCCGTCGCAGGGACTGGCTGTGAGTTATTATTGCTGAAGGTTGGCGTTTCTCCTGCTGTACTCCAATCTCGGACATAGCCTTGGTACTCGAGCGACTGAAGATGTGCACCAGATGGTTGTAAGCCAAGCATGGAAGCTGAAGAGTTTCCTGTAGTCGGGATCTCCTGGCTCGCTGGCTGAGTCCAATCACGCTGATGTGGTGAGCCTTCCTGAGGGGTAGCAATCCAATTACCGAACTGTCCCTCAACTCCTTTCATGGTCTGAAATATGGGGTTACAGAGGTTCTCGATTGTCTGCAATGGTTCCATGTTATTGAAACATGAGCCGGGAGATACATTGCCCGGGACAGACTTGAGCTGAAATCCAGTGCTATTTTCTGGAATGGATATGGCCTCTTTGTTGAGTTAGGGCGGGTGCCGGGGCTCGCCGGAGTCTCGTTCGCCGATCCTTGGTACCACGGCCAGTTCATGGTAGATGATATCGCCAAATTCCACGTATATATCCTTCACACTTGGGAGGAGAACAAGAATATAGGCGAGTCGGATTAAGGATGAAATGATGGGAAGCTGAATTATAGACATTGGGCTACCAGGCTGCCAGGCTGCACGCTTGGCTCACTACACTCTCAGCACAGCCCCAGTGTGGCGCGTCTTGCAGGAGCACAACTCATCGACATTCGTCAATATCTCACAGACAAGTCATAGAAGTGTAATTGTATTTTCTGCCAGCTTGTTAGCCTATTGGAAGACTTCGTGCGAAGAGCTAGAACCATAATAATCGATTGCAGGGTAGGGGTCTTCACCATAATTTTCCTCCCACACCTCGCTTCACTCTCCGATTTGCCAGGCCGATACAGAGATGCCGAGGGTGAGATCTTAATGAGACTCCTGTCCAGTAACTAGTTACGTTGTGTTCGCCTGTCTGAACTCGAGTGCGGTATTGCGGCATTGGCTCAGGTGCGTGCGGTTGAAGACAGGAAACGAAGGAACGAGGCGGGGGATGAGGGAAAGAGTAAACTCGCGTCAAGCTGCTGATAATACGCAGGACGCCAGAGTCACTTGCGGCGGTCGTGAGAACTATCGTTCCCGCAACAGAGAGGTAGCAAGAAGATTGGTACTTGGATATTGAGAATAGGAAGGCAGGATCCATGTCTAGATCCATGGGGATTCTTGGATAGATGTGACCTAGATATATTGGGCGAGGACTGCGAACTTCTTTGCGAGGTCGGAGAACCCTCTGTGGAAAGACGAAGCTAGGCTGTTAGGTCTGAGATCTCTCCTTCTGCATGTTGGTGATGGTGACGATGGCGACATCGAGGGAAAATAAGTGCTTTTTCGGGAAAGAGCCGGTCAGACTATCTTTGTAAATCAATATGCCTTACTGGAGCAGTCTTTTAGATTATCCAGAGAGCGCCTGTCTTCATCAGGGGCTGCGGCCATCCACGGAGCTCGTTTCCTGCGCCGTTGCATCATCGACACTCAGCATCCCGAGATCCGACTATTCCGTGAGCGAGACCGGACGAAGACTACAGCGAGGAAATGGTTAGTTATCTTAGTCCAAAAAATTAAAAGGAAATACCGACAAAAAAGAAAACATGCAACACCAGGGATTCGCTTGTCGTCACCGACCAAACTACTAATCTGGCCCTCACAGGCTTATCTAGGGAAGAGCGGACGGGGTTCCGATTTCTCCTGCGGGTATGGTCGCATGTATTAGTCTTGTTTCCAAGAACGCCTTATGAAGGATGAGGTTGTTGTTGTGGGTAGAGTGTAAAGTGTTGGGATAGTCTCCTGATAGAGTTGGGCATAGACTCTGCCTGACAGGAGTATAATTCAGACAACTAGATTTAGCACACACGCAAATCAAGAGGGCAAACTATAGTGAGAGATAGAAAGAGGGTACTCGTTTTGAGTTCTTTGTCTATAACCTCCCCTTCTCCGTCGGGTCCCTCGGAAACTTGATAGGAGTTGAATCGGTCCTCAACCCATGGGCCCTATCACGGCTTCCACGACGGAGATCATGAGATATTCCAACAAAGAGCATCGGAGACAACTCTATAGACAATCTATAGCCTCCTCTAGCAAGTCGAAAATTCCCCTCTTCAATAGCAACCCAGTTCCCACTATAGTGAGCACGAGACCGGCGTTTTCTTGCTTTTCCTAACTCTCAACTTAGATGAACTCGTTAGTCAGTCCATATTCATCAAAACATCTTCGGAGAGGTGAGGATAACTTCCCTGATAAGCTCTACGGCATTTCGGATCTCGCTCTATGCGAAATGGCCAACGGCCGCCGGCAGGAGAGCATCTGGTGCATGCCACAGGTACTGTCCTCGACTTGAAACGGCACCCTACGTGCTCAATAATCCAAAGCTGGGTTCAATAGGATCCAGGTGAGGGGTCTGTTATCGAAGTCTACCCAATACTTCAGTCTCCGGGAAGAGAAAAGTTGGAAGAACGAGAAAGAAAAGAAACAAGCCCTAGACGCAAGGGCGGACGACACTCATCCAGGTCCCCCTCCGCCACATGGCTGATTCCATCTTTGCTCTCCCGACGATCGGGCGTATGCAGCAAAGGATCAAGTTATCCCTCTTCTCGAATGCCATGTTCTCCCTTGCCTCTCGTAGGCAGAAAAGGAATCGGACCTCGCCACATCTCGACTACTTATCACGACAACTTAGGTTCTCATCACTCTCCTGTGGCAGATCAATTTTCACATGCTAGACATCGACTAGCTCTTCTCTATTTCTCCCTGTTTAATGAAAGGACATAAATAAGCTATACTTTTCCTCTCCGGAGGATCTGCCTCCCGAAATGGTGGTAAAGAATATTTCACGGTAGACCTCGCGGCATCTCACGCCGAGCCGTCTCCGGGCCCGGAACCGGAGATGCCGAGAACAGTGGAGGGGACACAACATATGGACGGACTTGTCGAGCAAGGGGAGAAGCAGAATGGTGCAAACCGGTCCTGGATCGACTCAATCTGGAAGGTAGAGCTTCTCTCGACGTTGAGAGGGTGGAGGCTGGGGCGGGTATTTTTGGGCAATGGCTGATGCTGGCTGACGCTCTTATTGTCGTTTGGCTTACAGATTGGGTCTGGTGCAGGCTGTAGCTTGCCGGCGGTGTCTGGAATATGCCTATCGCGAAAACGTAGGGATGAACAATAGCAAAGATCAATAGGCTCATCATCCCTTACATCTAGTGGTTCAACGTGGCTTTCTCACCACCCATTCCGCGAGAAGCGCGGGTAACACCATCTTCCTCGTCTATCTTTCCCTTCCACAGCCTCGAGCAATAACACAACAGAAGCCTCTATCTCGAGCAAGAAGGAAAAAAAAGATACCGAATGGCGGAAAAAAAAGAAGAATACTCCTCATTCAACTTGTCCTCATTCAACTTGCTAGAAGCCACGCGAACAAAGATCCACAAAATGCGTGACCATGCCCCCATGCGTCCCACCCCCTCTTCTCCCTACTACACCCCATCCACCACTTTCCCCTCCTCCCTTACCACGCTCTTCTGAATCTTCCCCTCCCAAAAGAGGGTGTGCAAGATGCCATTCTCATATATCCTAAGCTAGGAGCCAACTAAAACGGAAGGCGCGGCTCGTTTGAACACCCCCTGAGCTTAAACAAATCCCAAGGCCTACGATACGCTTCATTGGTGATGGGGGCCTCGGGTTAGGTATTGCCCGCTGGAGGGTAGGAAATTTGTTACCAACGATTCTTTCAGCTATAATACCTTTGTACTGCATGTGACATTGCCGTCGCTTCCATTAGCTTTCGAGAGGAGGCAGCCTTCGATGGGTCGAGGCCAGGCCGGCGGCACTCAGCCGAGTAAGAAGAGGACTCGTGGCGTGGAAGCAATGCATCCCTAGACAAAGATATTCATGCTCGCGGCCGTCAAAGTGACCGCTTTTCGCCTCAATCGTGTTGAAAAGGCCCATGTTGGTTCGGATCTCGACGATTCATGCATGAGTGCTTTTTTGAATCTTAGTCTTCAGAAGCTGACATGGTTTGATTTTCGTTGGGTTATTCCTGCTTCCAGGATATATCCTGGCGATGGTACCTAACAGACTTCAGCTCTATGCCTTGATGGGTTAAAAAGGCGGCCGGATTTTGGGCCTGGAGGCGACTCGGGATTCATCACGTTCCACGTCGCATCGAGTCTTAGCTCTTCAGATCCAAGTCACTGTACTTAGTCTTATTAGATCGTCTTGAAATCGTATCTACAATGTAGTATACAAGTAGAGAGAGAAGAAATCACCCAAGGACCGGGATCGCAGAAGGCAGGAATGGAATCCGATGTGATATCTTTTTCTCTTTATGCTCAAAGCGTATTGTGATCTTCCTAGGAGGGGTGGCTACGCTTACCCAGATATACCCAAAACGTAAACTCGGGCATGAAAAAGGTGGTCGTCTTACCACTAAAAGCCCTGTGACGACATGGAGAAAGAGAAAAATAATCCAGGAACGTAAGGGCACGGGCGCTTTTCTTTCGTGGTGATACCAGGTATAATCAACTGAGGTATCACAGGAAAGGACCTAATCGAGATGTCTGCCCCTCGAACTCATCGTCGTGGGATATAATCTCCCGGTTCCTTGCTCGTTTTAGTCGGAGCCTTGGGAGGTTGTAGGAGGCGCCCGTTCGTACATACATCTCCCACCAAGCAAATTTCGGTCAGCTCGCCCAGAGGGCACTTCCCCCCCTCTACGTCAAACCGGGGTCCCCCCTCGTCGTCCACTCAAAGCAGCCATCCATCCGCCCACCCACAAGAAGTTTTTGCTTTCCGCCACCACTTTACCCACTAATGTAAATAGCCATGCAAGATGCAAAGGCAAGGGTCGTCTCGCCTATGTAGTGCGTGATCCGAAGTGTGTGTGTGATATGAGATAAGTCGATCCATCGAACTGTGACGAGCCCTGCCATTAGTCGTATCTTAGTCCTGTCTTCTCCACAGTCTGGCATTGATCCTGTAACGCGAACAAACGGGGAGATTTGTGACGAACAAGAGAGGACGAAAAAAAAGGAGAAAAGAGGACTAGGTGTACTAAACCGACGCATCAGTCTGATTGGGGAAATTGGGCTTAAGCATGGAGAAGCCACTCCTATCATTTCGACTGTATTAGGGCGGCGACCGTTTGAACTATGGGTTCATGGCTTTTATTTTCCACCCCCCGTGGCGCGGGGATCTTGCACGTTTGTTGCTGATGTGATTAGGACTAAGATATCCTCACTCGTTCCTGGCCGGGGCTGGGG